ATCTTGCAAGTCACTTCTAGGGCACACATGCAATCTTATTATTCTTATTAGTCACTTTTCTCCCACATTTTAAACATGAAATGTGTGCCTTGGTTGGCTTGTCAACTAGACATATCTAGTTCACACAGTAAACATGCTAGTTGCTTTAACGATTGAAAAAATAGGCAAGCAAATTAGATGCCACCTTGTAAGTCATTTAATTTACAAGTGAGATTATCCATAGTTGTCAAGGTAGTCCCAGATTGGTTTAGCCATTTTGCAAGACAGTTCATTTATATTTGGTAAAGGAGCAAGTCAGAGGTCAACCTGCAAATAACATCTAATTCAAACCGTATACAAGAGAGGTGTTTCGATTGTCTTATATTTGTCTGCTGTCGCCTTCTTGAAATTCACTTCTAAGTCAGACAGTAAACAGGCAAGGTGGTCTCTGATTGGTTAGTCAATTATATGTAAACAGTCGTTGCGTTTTCTAACTGGCTAATCAGCTAGGTGTGGTTAAAAAGCAAATCACATGGTTCTTCTGGCTCACAATTAAACAAGAAAGTTGTTTCCTAGTTGGCCTAGCAGTTACATATGGCAGGGTTGGGAATCCGTGGCCACCTAGCATGTCACTACGAGCTCACATGGTAATCAAGAATTTCTGATTGGCTTGTCAGGTGTAAAGCAAGCATATAGATGTTTCCCCGACTGACTGGTCTTGTAGTTGTTTGGAATGAATAACCAGACTGAAATATTCTGATCATAGTCGTTTGATAATGTTAATGAATTCTGAGACAATAAATAATAAATTCAATAAATGTGATATTATATAACCTACTTCGTTTATGATTAGTTTAGCCACGATAGAAAGAATACATTTTACATCAATGCAATGGCGACAGTCACTGAGACTCGTTGTCCCCGTGGGTCGACGGATGCTTGGCTGTGATTTTCACTACATTCCTGCGAGGCTCGTCAATTGTCTAATGTTTGAACATTTGTCATTTTGTTGGTATTTCTACGAAATCAATTAGAAGTCAATAAAACATATTCTCCTTCTATTGAAAGGGCTACTGTAACCCACAACAATTTCCGTTTTCAGACATTATAAAATTTGAAACGTACTCAAAATAAAATAATGTACGAATAATGTATAAATAGATAAATAAAATAATAATGTGTTAGATAAAAATTTGTGAACTAAAAAATACACATATAAGAAGCACAGGGGTGATACATCATCATCAGCGGCAGCAGCGGCAGCAGTCCGGGTGGGATGGGCTACATGAGTGATGCAATTTGAGAACCCGATTCGTATTATTTTAAATTCAATGGGAATAAAGAAAAGTAGCATTCCGCCGACTTGTCGATTTGTTTTTTAAAAGATGGAGGTGGAAATACACACCTTCGTATAAACGGGTTTTATTTTACAGCATATAAATATATATTGTAACGCCTGGGACCCGGAATGTAAGGCAGATACAAGTCTTGATGTCACGTGACTTAAATCAATAACAATGGCAACTTAAGTGCAGTTAGAAGACACACAACATTTAAAAGATTAGAATGAATATATACGATAAGAACACCCGCAATCGCTTGGATACCAAGGAAGCCATTAACAACAACATTGCGGCGTGACCTACCCCCCCCCCCACTAAAAAAGACTGTAAACTCTTCTATACAAGGCTGAGTCCTGCGTTTCAACTAGCAATAAAAATACAGAAGATTTCGTGTCGTCTATACATCACGTGACACGTACGTGAATAAATGTGTGTGGTGGGTGGGGAGGTACGACGATGATGGCGGCGTCGTACACGATGTCGGCGCGCGATTAGGTTCAATTTGTAGAACATGCCATCTTTGCCAAATCGTTAGATTTATCCAAATGGCGCAATAATTCCAAATAATTGTTTTTACTCGATTCTGGGATTTAGTCCTGACTACTACGGCATCTATGGATTAGGGGAAGGATCAATTTTTATGTGCATTGGAGATACGAAGAAACGAGCAATCACACATGCCGTCTCGCTAGGAGATATCGTCTTCAATCGTTGAAAGTAAAAAAAAAATACAGATATAGAAGAAGAATTTAAACTGTTATAAGCATAAAATGAAAAGAGTCAAGTAGATGGAAAAAACATGAATCGAGATTATCAGTGGAGATAGTAAATACAAACAAACATACATGGTGTGAATTGTGACCGGGATTGTTTTAATTTGTTGCATAATTTCTTTACAGGTGTGAGAAATATCCGCAAACGAGTCTACCACTGAACATCGTCTTTATTTAAGTGGATGGCGGTACCCTGGCCCTGGGTATAGGTTTGACTGGCTTAGTACTGTGTAGATGGGCGTTCCGGTCGACTGATAGTAGGCATAGTAAACCATTTCGTGGTAAAGCCATTAGTTGTATCACTGGTGTTAGTTAAACTCAGTTTCTCTTCGCATTTTTTTTTTTTGTCGTTTTCTATCAATTTTTGAATATGTACTTTTTTCTTCTTTGAAAACTAAACAAAGCACGTCTCAAATTTATGTTGGTATTGTATGTCAGCATTTCAAGCTTCCCGTTCTGTCAACGTCGTAATTTTAAAAGTAACCGTAAATGGTCAGCTGCCCCCTTCCCCCAATACCACCAACCTCGTGTATGCAAGTTTCACTCAGAAAGCGTGGGTCATAATCGCGACATTTTATGGTCAGACCAGAGATCTGTAGATTGGAGATTTACGTTTTCAGACTCACGCTCTTCCCGAATAGTATGATTATTGTTAGTTTTATGACCAATCAGGAAAGTGGAATAATAGAAAGAGTTGAAATTCTTCTTTGAAGGGTGTTTTATGGCATTCACATTAGCACGGGAAAGAATGCATTGAGCTAGAACATGAAGGAAGACAATAAGATCGGGCGGGGATCATTGGACGGGAGCGTCGGTCGTCGGCGCCACCACAAACATAGTACTTCATGCCTTTTTCCTGTTTTTTAATCTCATCAATTCGAATTCGCAATTCAGAACCGTGCGTACAGAGACGGTGGCGTAATTCATTTGTGTCGTCTCCATTAGTGCGGCTTGACAAAAAATAGCGGCGATTGCATTGCTATAGCGAATAGAATGTCGCCGTTTCATTTTTTTTCTGTCTTCCTGCCGTGGGAACCGACTAACAGAAGTAAGTAGTAGTTTATAACTTTTGATATACCTGTAGTCAATTTGAAATTCAAATAAAATTGAATAAAATAACATAAAATACAGGCATCGTAGTAGTGTTTGTAGACAATAGGCAGAGTATGTAGCGTTGATACTGTCAACTTTGTTATGAATAAAATGAGCGATACGGGATCTGTCAAAAAGACTCCGTATTGTGAATATATGCCACAATTCATCGCTTGTCGCTGAAAAAACAAAACAACGGCATTGAAAACATTTGCGAATATCTTGACGGGGATGTGGGGCAGTATAACAGCAAGCTTTATTCTCAAACAACCAACCAACCAATCCATCACCCAGTACGGGAAAAGACAGGTCAGAATGAGACACGCTGATTGGCTGGTGTAGTCACGTGATTAGGGACGACTTGGTTAAGATGACGTTCTATGGGAGGGATAACGTAAAGAAATCGACAAAGGATATCCATTATTGTACCTCGCCAAAATTTTATGACCATGAGCTCGTTCCTGGTGAATTCTAGCTACGGCGTGGATCCTAAGTTTCCGCCCGTGGAAGAATACTCCCAGTCTAGCTATATTTCGGGACAAGGGCAATTTTATAACCACAGTGGCAACCAGGGATACAGCTACACCGCCTACTCTCAGCCGTACAGCGCACAGGCAGCGTATACAAACGCACAGGGCACATACAGCAACATATATAGTAACAGAAACAGGGAACAGAACGGCAACGCCGCACATAACAGCCCTGTTATAGAGTCGCCGGGACACGGGGTACACTCACAGAATGGTGTAGGAACGCAGCAACCTCTTTCACCGCAAGTCGCGATTGCAGCCGACCATCAACAACAACAACAACAGCAGCAGCAGCAACAGCAAGACCAAGATCATCACATAAGTTATGCGTCGCCGTCGCCGAGTGGGTTACCGAATTCCTCGCACACGGCGACAACCAGACATTCGAATGTAATGTATCCATGGATGAAACGGATGCACGTAAATCCAGGTAAGTAAAACCTCCTAGTATACGATGACGTCCTGGTTGCTGGCGATAACACTTTCCACTGAAATGAAACGTTGTGTAGGTTTAACGACCTGACGCAACACCCCGTAATCGCGGCCGTCGCTGCTACCGAGGGGTTGTCAATTTCACTGTCGCTGCTGCGATACGATGTCGATTTCACTGCGATATCAGACTCGCCTAAATCCCCATGTACTGCAGTTTCACCGGGGCCATGTGCCAATGTTTTGGTTTGGTAAACCGGTCATAAATCGACTTTACATGTGCTGCCGTCCCCACACGATAAATGAGACAGTATACCATAAATTTAATTACTTTGTCATTTATATGGGGTTTAGTCTTGTCACCCCGTCCAGGTCGACAAACATCGTGGGAAAAAATACCATAAACTGTGAATAATTCTACTGAATTGTCAAACTATTTTGTGTGGTGGTAAAATTTTGCTGGAATGCTGCAACTGTCACGTTGGGGGACTTGTGCGAAAGTTGCAAAATGTTGCGTTAAAATATGTGTTTTGGTTGTGGGACGTACAGTCCGTTGGATCATTAATTTTACCTCTGTTTACAATGCCCATGATTAATATACTCGTTGCACGTTTTCACAGGGATTGGTGCGGCAGCCCCGAACGGAGCCGAACACAAGCGGACTCGGACGGCCTACACGCGCTACCAAGTGCTAGAACTGGAAAAAGAATTCCATTTTAATAGGTACTTGACTAGAAGGCGACGAATTGAGATCGCGCACGCTCTGGGACTCACCGAACGTCAAATCAAAATTTGGTTTCAGAATCGGAGAATGAAATGGAAAAAGGACCACAATTTACCGAACACAAAGACGAAAAGCTCAACACCGCACACCACTCAGGGTGCTTTTAGTCCAAGTTCTGAACCGGGAAGTAGCGGGCAAGTGTGATGTATCTCCGTCAAACCTTACTGACAATTACAGCGAAGGTGATATTACACTAAACGGTGAGACTAACTAACCGCGCACCGGCGCTGTCTTGGATGCCGTGAATCACCGATCGTACTGTGAGCTCATAAATCCACTCCACCCGGTCGTAATTTTGCGTGGTATTAAATGGAAACTCGTGGCACTGAAACTAAACTCACACCGTCAGACCTCAACTGATTTATGTCTGCTATTGCGTTCTTTCATAATCTCCACAACACAGTCTGTCCATCAGTTGTTTTCATATCGCCACTACAGACATCCCGGTATCCCCGTAACCGGCACCCTTCTTCTTTTTCCACTTTCATAGGCTGTTAATCGTTAGCACGTTAAATCTGAATTGGTATCCACCGATATTTTTTAATGAATTTGGATTTTGCACTTGCACGTCAGTTCGCAAATGAACGAGGCTAGCTTGGATATCCTCCGATTTTGTATATATGGATTTTTCCTCGATGATTAGCCAGTTGTCAAATATTATTTTTTTTTCAATATGTTCTGAGATTATTTATAAGTTTTACAACGGAAACACGCGTTTTCGGACGCTACGCTTCCAACAGAGAGTACATCACATATTTCTGTATCGTGCAGCTCGTCATTAGCGAAAACATTTAGAATCCGTGCAGAAACCCGCAGAAAATATCGAAATATAATAGAATATGTTTTTTCTTGTTTTTAAATTTCAAAAAAAAAATCATTTTGTTGACATATGAAAGTTGTAATTTATTCTGTCCTTGCTTTAGACGTAGACTGAAACAATAAACTCATATTTTTTTGTTGGAAATTTCAACTCCGATTACGTGACCCCAACTCGTCATCGCTACTGGTGCATATGTCCAGGTGAAATAGACGCACCCAGACATAGATTAATTTTCCATGCCACAACTAGTAAAAATATCGAGATTGTGGACCCGGTCGAGTTGTATTTGGAAACAAGTTTGGGTTAGTAATGAACGATTAGTTTTGTTGCTTAAAACGTGCTTTTAGGCATATCCCTGACTGGTCGAACCATCACAACAATTATTAAGACACATGACATTGCAGTACAAAACAAAACAAACAAAACAAACAAAACAGAGAATATTATTATCAACTTTTCATCTACCTCTTACAATGTATATCAATGTAAAATTATTACTTCAAGCGATTGCGTAGCTGGGGGGGGGGGCTATGTTGAGACAATTGAGGGGTATTTGGTGAAGGACATTAATTTCTAATGTGTTAGTTTTGAAGATGATGTGTTATGTTTAAGAAATTCTGACTTTTGGAGAGGCCCCAAAGAAATAACAGTCCGTCGTGTGCGGGGGACTGGGAGCTGAACTCGCGTATGTGTAGGTACCAATACGAACCAGGCAACCATTGTTCGGGAAAGTGATTTTTTAAACTCAATCTTGAAAGCAAGAGAAAATAATTTTCTATTAAAAGTCTGGCTCGTATATGTTGCTATTGGTAGGGGGCATGGGGAAACGATTGCGGGTATGAACGTGGACCACCCCGACATCGTGTACAATTCGAAATATGTCGAAATCGAATGAAACATTCGCAAGGCACGAGTGGGATGACGATGACGTAACTATAGAAATACGGGGGGAAACAAATTCGAGAAATTTTACGGAGTCGAATAATATGCCAAAGTATGTATCATGTTGATTTCATGTGGATTCCATGTGAATACTTTGGGGGGGGGGGGGGGTGACTAGAATACTTTGTAACCGTAAAAGTTTCCTTTTTTTAAACAAGTCAGTGACTTCCAAATGTCAGTTGGATTGATGTAAATGTTGATTACTGTAATGGTATGCCAATGTCACGTGCAGGACGCTTTGACTTTACTGGTTGGTTCTTAGTTGCGACACACCTGCAATGGCTTGTTGATGAGGATTTACCGCCCTCGTCATTTCTCGTCACATTTCAAAAGAACGTGGGAAGTGTTCATTGCCTTATACCTACGCACGCATTGACTTGG